TAAACTAGGTTAGTGGATAATTCGGCAGCAAAAAGTTATTCTAGAAAATCAGTGCACAATAATTTTAGAAATCCAAACATTTAGTGAAAAAACAATATTTTGTGGGGAACAAATAAAAGTGTTGCACTAAATATGGTAAAATGTTACACATTGCTATTTTTATTATAAAATTCATTAATGAAAAACATTCATGAATGTATTTACATATAAGTATATACTATAAAATTAAAATACATTTCTCTTAAATTTATAGCATATTTTTTAATAAGGCAACAACATATGATAGATTCGATAGGACAAAACAAATACAGTGTGGCATGAAGCGCTTACAATATGTGCATTTGGTGTGCAGAATGATGCGCTTGAAGCAACACGGAATCACAGCACGCAGCACTTTGCATTAAAAAGTGCAAAGCACAAAGGGAAGAGAAATTGATGCATAGTGTATTATATCTGTGCAACAGTTATTGAGCCTTTCTTTTAACAGTTTTAAATTTCAGTTACTGTGCGCGTTAAAAACAATTTATAGTATTTTCTACGCCCGTGTTTTGTTCTCACAGACACCTGGTAGCAAGTAACAAAACAACATTAAACTCCGGCAAGAAGTCCTTTTTGCAAAATCATAGACATTTATTTACAAATCAAGTATAATAATGGGAACACAGAATGATCTTGGAGAGAGCTTTATTGAGCTGACTGTCGTAACCGAATGCGACCAGGGTTTAAAGGCTGAACGAATGACTGACAGCCACAGCGGAGAAAAGAGTTTGTGTGAACTTTAATGTAAGGACTTAAATATTCATATGTAGCTCACATTAAAGGGATACGGTTTCTACGTGTGTTTACGCTTTGATTCAGAAGAGCGTACGCTGCTTGCATTCAGGGGATATTCTCTAAAATCCGGAAAGACAGAGGAGACGAATTGTTGAATAAAGTCGTTATTTTAGTTTTCTTCACGTACAAAAAGTATTCTCATCGCTTCATAACGTTACGGTTGAACCACTGACGGCAGATGGACTATTCTGACGATGTCTTTCATACTGTTCTGGACCTTGTCAGTGTAATTTACTTGGCAGTCAATGTAACATTCACAAGCCTCCCGGTTTTCATCCAAAATATCTTAAATTGTGTTCCGAAGACGAACAAAGCTTTTATGGGTTTGGAACGACATGGGGGTAAGTGATTAATGACAAAATTTTCATTTTGGGGTGGAGTAACCCTTTAAGCTATCGTATGGTTTCAGAAGTAACAGAATAATATGCCCTCTCTGACCGATACCCGATCCGACAAAAAATGGCAGTATCGGAGCCAATACCCGATATGAATATCGGATCGGCGCATCCCTAATGGTAAGGGGTGTAACATTTCCGTCACACGCTTGAGGTATTCGGCCAATCAAAATGCACTGGATAGCTGGCCAATCAGAGCACACCTCGCTTTTCAGACCGATGAGCTTTGTAAAAATGTACGCGCTTCAGAAAGGCGGGGCATAGAGGAGAAACAATAATGTACAGGATGTGGAAAATAATGTGTTTTTTTAACCTTAAACCGCATAAACACATTGCATTACACCAAATACAAAATAAATGTTCTTTTTAGCAACGTCATATGACCCCTTTAAACAAATTATGATATATTTTATTTCTTTGCGCACAAAAAGTATTCTTGTAGCTTCTCAAAATTGAAGTTGAGCGACTGATGTCACATGGACTGTTTTACTGATGTCCTTACTACGTTTCTGGACCTGGGAACATTTCAGTTGTGTGCTGTCTACGGAGGGTCAGGGAGCTCTCAGATTCCATCAAAAATATCTTAATTTGTGTTCTGAAGATGAACAGAGGTCTTACAGTTTTGGAACAACATGAGGGTGCGTAATTAATGACAGAATTTTCATTTTGGGGTGAACTATCCCTTTAAGTTAGTCTAAAATTACCCTACAATAAGTGGAGAAGCTTTATTCGATGTGGGTGCAAATAAAAAAGCTCCCACATCGAATCAAAGAGTCCATTTCAAATAGCTGCAAAGAGGAAAAGGTTGGAAAACAGTGTTTTTATTTATTTATTTTCTAATAATTTTACCTAATAATATTGCTCCACTGCTTAGTTGGCACCAACTAAAGCTCCTCTATAGCCTAAAAGTCAATGCTGCACACAAGAGTTACGCACCTGTAATCATTGCATGCATAACATATTTTGAATGCAACATTATCTAAATGTTTCATTAATTTTTTAATTAAAACAGGATTATACTTACGCCATAGAGATGACCATAAAATCCAGCCAGTTCCAAGGGTCTCTGAGGAAGGTGAAGCCATCTATACAAAAACCTCGAGCCACAATCTTTGTGAGTGACTCGAAAGTGTAGATTCCTGTAAAGGTGTATCTAACAGAGTTCAAAAAAAAGAATGCATATAAATAAGTGTGTGTTTCAAATTTAAATTTTAATTGATAATTTTCATTATTAAATGAAATATGGTTTGTTTAACTAATATTTCTCTCGCCCTCACCCACGGTGCTTGTCACAATGGGATCAGGAACAGAGCAGAGATTTGGAACAGAGCTTACCATTGGTTAAGGACTCCCATGAAACTCCATTACCCCCAGTTACCCCAAAATAGACCTAGCAATTTTTAGGACTGGCCAAATTTCCAAGTGGAGCTTACATTGTCCTTAGCCTTTCCTCCGTCCTAACCAGTCATTAACTTGTCACTCTACTAACATTATATGCCCTGCTTTTCAGCACTCACACTGGAGTGGTTGGTGCTCAGAGTTTAAATTTCTGACCTTTGGCTTTTATCCCTTTTTGCTATACTGCTGTTATTATTATATCTGTGCACATAAATCACAAAAAATATTACAATCACATTTGATGAAGAAAATCTGCATAGACTAGATGAGTCAAGACTAGAATAGAATAGAATACAATAGAATAGATCAGAATACTTACTCTACTTGTTTGGACCATTCTGGAGGATTGCTGAATGTCATGAAGACACAATTTGTCAAAATTGTACACATGATGATCATGCTGAAAAGTGTAAGAAGTAGTTAAGGAAATCCTGTGGTAATGTCAAAATATTCATCAGATATCAAAACTATAATGGAAATAGAGACATTAATAAAAATGTGAATAATTTCATAAAATGATGTAGTAAAATCTGGGGTCACACAAAAAATTGTTGGTTGAGGACATAGGCATTTACTATTTTCCATAAGGAAGAAGTATGTTGTTAGCCTCGACATGATTAATGGTCTTTAAATCACTGTCTGTGTCACAGCACAATTCAGAACTCTTTTTTCCAGAACATTTAAGTAAAATAGTTAAATTATGCACTATGATAATAGGGTGTAACTGATAATTTGTCATTTATACATTTGATAAAACCTACAAATGCAACAAAGCATTGTTCTCATATTTCAGCCAGACAGACTAAGCACAGATTAGAAAACAGTTTCAACAAGAACAATCATTAATAACATGGACAATATTTGGAGCATTGAAAAGGATATGAGTGTATCAAAATTTTAATTGCTATTTGCCTGAATAGGTTAAAAGGACTAATGATATATAACGAGGGCGTGGCACTGAAACGGAAGATAGTTTTTCCTCTGTTAAGCACTATAAAGGTCTGAAGAGAAAAAGAGGAAGCAGAAAAAAGAGAGGGAAAGATATTAGTTACATATGTCAGGGTACATGGTGAGAGAGCATAGTCATTCACAAAAAAAAAAAAAGACCAAGTAGAGAAATGCCAATAAACAACATATATGAAAGGTTAACATGACAAGAACTTTGGATTTATCCAAAAATGACAGACGCATTCAACACAAACTTGCTAAATGTATACAATATTCAAGAACACCCACATAACTTTTTCCTAAAGTACAATAAAATATAAAAATTCAGGTCAAAGGCCATTTCTAAATCAAGCCCATTAAAACTCAGCTAGGGATATATTTACGCAAATGGAGCTAAGACAACTGCAGAAAGCGCTGGCAAAGAGATGGACCTCTTACAGGAACTCAGACTGTAATACTAACGCTAATGCTAACCACTAACACTGCGATCCATCAGATGCAGAAGTGCTGACTCCAGATAGTGTGTGTGGGACAGGGAAAAGCGAGAGGGAGGGGGAGGGAAGGAAAGAACGAACGAACGAAGGAAGGAAGGTGGGTCAAAAGCCCTGCAAAGCTCCTTTGCTCCAGCATAATGTAAGAAAAAAAAGAGACAAAGAATCTTCATCCACATATTCATCATGAAAACCACATGAATCCAAGTTACACACACATACAGACTTCATGTCAAAGAAGCAAAATTGTGTTTTTATACATCTTCAATTATTTTTTTTATCCTTTTTTCTTATTTTTTATTATCCCCCTGGTAAATAGTTTTTCTTTCTTGTTTTTAGCATGAACCTCAGTAAGTTTTTATTATTGTTGATATTATTATTTTATTGTTTTGTTTTTTTTAGAGATTTTTACTGGAAAACAAGACAAAATACTGATAAAGACAATATTTCTTCAGCCCTGTGATATCACACACATAGAATAATTTATGTTGCACAAAACGCCACTCCAGTTACACACACACAAGGAAACACCATAGAGGCGAGCGGATGAGAATCTACCTGAAATCTAATTAGATTAAAAATAGACAGCTGTCTGAAGGAGGACAAAATGAGCACCTTTACCTCAGAGTGTCCCTATCTCTCTCTATTTCTCCACCCCCGTCTATTTTTTCACTGTATTTGTCTGTGTGTGTCTGTGCATTTAATCACGCCAAACACTACAACATGGTTAACAAAATCATAAATTAAAAGACAGCGTATGTCAGACATAAAATGCTGCGTCTTCCATCTGAAGACAGCTGTCATTTTGAGGCACAAAATCCCAAAGACTGTCACACTAGCAAAAGCTGTGAACCGCCCAGAAGGCTCCATGTGTTACTGAATACTGAGCACTGGTTTCCCCAGAGTCTCTCTCACACACACAGACACACACACTGCGACAGACTGTGGGCTTCCTCCGCTGGCGGGAGCTCCCACTCTCACAATGCTGCACTCGTTGCTGAGGACATAGCTGCAGTTCTCAGTATCCTGGCTTAAAAATCTTTCTAATCTTCTCTAAATTTTCATATTAATGAGCATCTTGTTTATCACTATGCAACACACTCATCCAGCCGCATAACCTCAACCGTCCCATCCGAATAATCCATGATCATAACAAATTGTTTCAACTGTGACTTCGACCCTTTGTCCTTGTGTCTATAAAACGTAAGCGATTTTGCAGATGATGCATATGAGCAAACCTTAAACATGATACAAAAACAGGGAGTTCAATGGTCATGTACATGTGATCACAGCCTTATGACAACACCTGCACACACACAATGCAGCCTATTGGTCTTTCCTTCTGACTGCATAAGTGATATGCTGCAAAGCTACTGAAAATTTCATCATCTACAGAGAAGAGAGCCAGAGAGACATGAAGATGTGGACGGAGGGAGGAGGATTAGGAAAAGTGGGGGGGGGGGGGCAAAAGGGGAAAAACTGGAAAAAGCATCACTGTTGC